TATTTATTTGCAATTTGCAATCATGAAAGAGAAATCTTGACAGTACTAATATGGAGAGAAAATCCCTCTAAGGACTCTAGTGCTATGGTTGGAGATTACCCCTCTGCTTGCTCTACACTCAAAGGCAGACCCCTGTTCTACTCACAGAAGTACAATTCCCTAGTAAAACAGATTGATTGGGAAACTGCAAGCTCTTGGAGAGGAATAGGGGTTGCCTAACAACCCCTCAGCACCCATGACTGGTTTAAAGAGGTACCAGGGTGCTTTAAATGCATGGTGTGAAGGGACCCAGAGTGCCCTTGCATAAAATATTATTTATTCTGACACGTTTTAAATTAAGTTGTCTTCTTTTAACAAAATGGCCACTTCTGTAACTTTATCCCATTACCTGTTTTGTTGCAGAATATCCTGGACAAATGACAAGAGCCATGCAAGAAAAACTGCCAGCAAGATTTTCAGAGATTTTCAGAGACACATTTGGTCCATGTGGCACCTTAGAAACGCTTCATTCTAAACTGACTGTTTGACCACCATAGGTTGAAAATGCAACGCAAATTCCATGGTAGAATGCCAATTTATTTACAGATATATGTGAACAGAAGTACAAGTATGCAATCTAATAAACTTCTACCATAAGTTACAGAACAATTTGCAGGGATTCTTCAGCATGATTCATCATTCACTTTAAGTCGATTATATGCAATTAAAAAAAATAATCATTTTATTTGTTTCATAACATTTATACACCACGTGTTTGTAAAAAACACCTCCGAGTTTAAAAATTTAAAAATTTAAAAATCCACTGCAGCTTTCTAAGCATCTAGGTAAGTTTGTCTACACAACAATGTTTTTAGCAAGTGCCACAAGGAATACAGTGCTTGGTATCAACAGGCAGGGAGAACCCAAAGTGCTCATAGAGACCCCCACAAAAAAATATTAACCCTAGGGAATGCAATTATAGTAACAATAGAACTTTCAGATACACTATTACTGTAACAGGAAAGTTAAGGAGTGTCAGAAGCACGTTAGCTGGAGTGTTTGAGCTGCCCATTCTCAAGGGATCTGGACAGGTAGCAAGACAAAAAGTACAGTCTATTCAATACCTGCATCTTGTGTAGTTTCACAAGAGTTAATGGAGTAATGCTGGTGCCTCTTTGCTTGAGAAATAAGTCCTCTGATTCAGCACTGCGTACAGTACATTTGAAATGTTATTCTGATTACTTTATTATGCTGTCTCTTACTATGCCCTGCAAAATGTCTTCTTAATGATGTACACTTTCCTGGGATCTTTTGATAAAGGGCAATATATAAATAATAAAAATAATAAATAAATAACAGTGTCATATAAAGAGGGCCAGAAACAAACTCTCCTACACCTCCCCTATAAAAAACAACCATAAACGCATATTGAATTTTCAAGCTTTTAGATTTTTGTTTTGTGGGGAATTTTGTTGTACAGAGAAAATAGTGTTATAACTGGGAGGTGGCAGAGGCTTCATTCCAGATCTTATTAGTATCCTCCCTCCCTCCCTTCATTCACTGTAGGCAACCAAGTGCTCTGCTTATGGCTGGCTCTTAGTTTTGTCACTTCAAGGGCTGTGAATTTTACGAGAGCGGTTTTTGTGCTATGATTTGGATAGAGTTTTCATATTCAACTTCTGCCTGCAGCCCACTTCCAAAATTGAGAAGCCCTCTACAGACCCTTTAATTTCACTTGTCCACATAAGTGGCCAGTGATAGGACCCTGCTTGCTAGTTGTGGGTAATGTTCCACACGGATTCTGTAAGTGCAGGGGCGTCTTACCCACAGGCGCTAGGGGGCAGGGCACCCAGGTGCTGGGCTCTCAGGGGCGCCAAGGCGAGAGTCTGGGGCCTGAGAGTTGAGTCTGAGGAAGAGCCTGCCCGTCGGTTGGAGCGCCATGATGGGCTCTGCATCGCAAGTTCGGGGGTGACTGAGCCAGTGAGATGCTGAGGCGGCCGGCCAGCTCCACCCTCCTGTGTACCACTGGCTGGTGATGAGACTGCCCCCCCCCAGCCTGAAGAGATCCTCTCTGGGCTCTGGGGTGGGTCTTCTGAGGGAAGTGTGCTCCGACACTTTTTTTCTAGGGAAAAAGCTCTGCTGATGGCCTATTATCAAAAGGGCTTTTTGTGCACACACTATGGTCAGGCTGAATGTTAACGGATGACGTCTTGAGACCATCTACCAAAAAGGCGGCCTGACTACAAAATTTTGGCCAGAGCAAAAGGCTAAATTTATATTTTCCACTCCTTGAGCATCTTAAGACACATCCATGCAAGAGCTCTCTAACTCCTAAAGCAGGAGGCACAGGAGTTGTTAACCCCAAAACTGCAGAGATATTGAAATAAGATTCCTTTCATAAGAACATTAGGGTAAAGTCACTACATGACTGCCAAATCATATCAAAAGGGAAGAGCAGGTCTTGATTTCACCCATCAAGAACTGCTGCTACACACTTCCTCTAAACTGGAAGTGAGCGAAGAGTCTGTGGGACATCCTTCTCCAGATAAAAACAACTGTGCGGAAGCCCCCCTGGGAGCTATTCAAATGAAGGCAGTTTAAACTAATATAGCAAGGTAAGTTTTCTGTCATCAGCAAGACCTGCCTTGGCTCCCAAGCCCCTCACAGAAGAGTTACACTGCCAGAGCTGAGAACACCAGTTCAAACCAATGCACATTTGTTGCACAGCTATGTCTTACACAGCTGCCCATGAGTAGGCTTGCAACCCTCACAATCTTAACTATTTGAGATCAAACTGCCCAGCTGAAGACACACCCACTTCCTTTGTGGACACAAATGTAACTGGATGGAGGAGCTGCTTTGCCCCTCGAGATGTGCAGTTGGCTAGACAGACAGAGGTCATCATCCCACATCAAAGAACTGCTCTGTATAAATAACAGTGGGCCCTTCAGGATGCCTCGTAGTGTCACAACCAGTGCTGGCATGCACCTCTCTGAGCCTGTATCTCACCAAGGCTGCAGGAGACTCACTTCTCAAATGACACTGCTACCCCAGAGAGCCAGGGGTTCCATATCTTTTGGGGCCCTTGGGGCACATATGGAAAGCTAAGAACCTGCCATGGGCACCACAAAATTTCTAGACGACAAAAGGAAAATTGGAGATGCTCAGAACCTTCTTCCCACCTCAAAAATAGGCAAAGCACCAAAGAGTTTCTCCTACACAAATAGTAAAAACCAAGAGCAGGCAAAACATACATCATAAATACATAAACACACTTCTCCTTGTACCTAAAAAAAGGGGGCTGGGAAGATTGCTCCCCCTCCTCCAAACTACCAGGCAGCTTAAAGTATCCATCTGAAACCTCTCAGGGAGGAGAGGAGGAGTGTGAAGCTAAAAACCAAAGCTTGGCCTTCAGGCAGTCTGCCACCTTCTGCCCACACTGAAAAGCATTCTGGGGAAAGGAACACAAGAGGGAGGGGGGTGCCTGGATGCCTGCATTTATTTTTTTGCAGCAAACCCAGAAGCACCCCGGGTAAGGAGGGTGGGTGGGTAAGAAAAGTAAAAAAAACTCAGAAAAAGCCCCGTTGACCCTTTATATAATGCACATTGTGAGCTCTTCTGAGTCCCAGCAAGCCAAACTGACTGGAATAGTTCACTTATGAAGGGAACAGCCCACCCCAACTACTATATCATTATTGCGAATTCTTTTTGCACTCTGTGCCTTAGGGCTAGGGCTGGACAACACCTGGTTTTCAACACTGTGATATATCAGCAATATGCTGATCTGTCATGGTGTCTGGAATGTATCGAAGCAGCCGAGATACATCGCCCAGCCGAAGCCCGGGGCTTCGTTAAACTGCTCAGTTTGGGGGACGGGAAGCCTCCCAGCTGAGTGAGCCCCCATACCAGTCTGGCTCATGGAGGGGTGGGGGGGCTTCCTCAAAAGGCGCAGGCAGGTAGATCGTGAGAAGGTGCTCACCCAGACCTTTCTGCCTGTGGCTTTGCTGTCTGCAGGCAATTTGAGCTGGTGCAATGGATTACCAGCTAAAAATGTCTGAAACCAGTATCATGATCTGAACACCATACCGGTTTCCAGACAATTTACCAATACAGTGGTACCTCGCAAGACGAAATTAATTCGTTCCGCGAGTTTTTTCTTCTTGCGAGTTTTTTGTCTTGCGAAGCACGGTTTCCCATAGGAATGCATTGAAAATCAATCAATGCGTTCCTATGGAAACCGCCTTCAGACCAGGTCCGGGGACAGTCTGTCCCCCGACCTCTTCTGAAGGCTGGGGGGGGCAAGGGCTTTTCTTCCCACCGCCAGCCTTCAGAAGGCTGTTCTGAAGGCTGGCGGTGGGAAGAAAAGCCCTTCTCCCCACCTCCCGCCCCGCAAGCTCCGGGGGCAGGAGGGCTTTGCTGCCGACCGCCAGCATTTTAAAAGCCCCCGGGACAGCGGAGACTTCTCCGCTGTCCCGGGGCGATTTTAAAATGCTGGCGGGCGGCAGCGAAGCCTTGGCTGTCTCGGGGCAATTTTAAAATGCTGGCGGGCAGCAGCGAAGGCTTCGCTGGCGCCCGCCAGCATTTTAAGATCGCCCGGGACAGCGGAGAAGTCTCCGCTGTCCCGGGAAGGCAGGTGGGGGGGAGCAAAGACTTTCGCCCACCGCCGGCCTTCAGAAGAGGTCCAGGACCTCTTCTGAAGGCCGGCGGTGGGCGAAAGTCTTTGCTCCTGACCACAAGCATTTTAAAAGAGGTCCCCGGAGATCATCTTCTTGCGAAGCAAGCCCATAGGGAAATTCGTCTGGCGAAGCACCTCGAAAAACGGAAAACTCTTTCTTCTTGCGAGTTTTCCGTCTTGCGAGGCATTCGTCTTGCGAGGTACCACTGTACATTACCCATAGGGCTGGGTGGAGGGCAAGGAGTAATTGAAACATAAGAAACTGCCTTAGACCAGTGGTCTGACACTGTATATCAAGTTCAGTACTGTCTACCCTGACTGGCAGCGGCTCTCCAGGGTTCCAGGCATGGTTCTCTCCCAGTCCTACTTTGAGATGCCAGGGATCGAACCTGGGACCTTCTGCATGCAAAGCAGATGCTCTACCACTGAGCTACAACTTTGAGACGGGGGAAGAGAAACTCATCTTCCTTCACTTGAAGGGCTGTGTGCACGTCGGAGGCATCCAAGAGGAGGAAATCTGCAGGTTGTGGTTTGAGCTCAGAACTCTGCTTCCTGAGAATATCAGCTTTCACCTTCTACTTCTTGCCATGAAGATGATTTAAAGTGTGCCTGATGAACCCTTAGAAGCCAGAGACCTGGCTGGGTAAATGTTTTTTAGCAGTTTGGAGCAGGGCTTCAGCAATCTTGCTTTACCCATAAAGACATGCAAAATGTGAACAAGTTGTGCTAATCAGATTAACCTGCACAATTTCTACAGGACACAGAATTTGCATCTCATGGTGCAGATTTTTTTTCCTGTTTAGCATGGAGTACACACAGCCCTGTTTTTAGCATGGTGTACAGACAGTGCATTTGTTTTATCAGGTGTATATATAACTGGCTGAGAACTGGAACGCTGCTAGATTGCCATTTTGGCTTTGTTATTTTTATTATCTGTTTCCCAATATTTACTTTTATGTTGTTGGTTTATTTTTTATTTTATTTTATAATTGCAACATACCTTCCTAGAATCTTTTGGGCTGAAGGGCAGGATGCAAATTCAACCCTGATTGTAACCCTGTTCCCAAAAGCTTTATGAAGTGCACCACTATGGTGATGTGCACCTGTTAGTTCCAGCCTCAGATAAAAAGCAGAAGTTATGCAGGGTGACAGAATACAGAGACCAAAAAAGTGGGTTTTACTGTAGCTTCTCATGCAAGCCAAATGTGGAAGTGACCCCTTGCGAATGTGAACACGCATACAAACCCACACACTCCAGTCTTACTATTTGAGATCTTGACAAGAAACATGAACTAATCCATCTCCATCATGGTAGTTAGCTGCTCTATCATATCATACAGGCTGTTGGAGAGTTGCAGGCTCAAGTTTTCACTGTTCAAGGATGAGAAGCCTTGCCTCTGCAGGTCTTCATGCCACTGCTTACAAACCATCGGCACCAACTGCAAGACATAAAAAAGCCCGTTAAGGCTTGCCTACTTACTCCAAGATACCTTCTTGCTATGCAGCTGTCCTCAAAACCCCCCAAAATATATGCACACCCAACACCAAACAAAACAAAAGACAGACTGCCTGCAATTCTTTCAAGAGCCAAATGTCTACACTCCTCTCCAAATGGCACTTCTGGCAGAGAGGACTGGGGGCCTTCAAAACCTGCTTGATCAAAGGAGATAGCAGGATTGAAAAGAAGTATGCCCCTCCCAGACCATCTCCAACCCTCTAAAAAACCATTACCTGCCTCCATCCTACAACCAGGTAAGCCAAAAAACAGCAGAGCAATAAGAATCTGCCTTTGGTACCTACTAGGTACTTATAAGTACCTAACAAGGACGCAGGTGGCGCTGTGGTCTAAACCACTGAGCCTCTTGGGCTTGCGGATCAGAAGGTCGGCGGTTCGAATCCCCGTGACAGGGTGAGCTCCTGTTGCTCGGTCCCTGCTCCTGCCAATCTAGCAGTTTGAAAGCAAGTCAAAGTGCAAGTAGATAAATAGGTACCGCTCCGGCGGGAAGGTAAATGGTGTTTCCGTGCACTGCTCTGGTTCGCCAGACACAGCTTAGTCATGCTGGCCACATGACCCGGAAGCTGTACACCGGCTCCCTCGGCCAGTAAAGTGAGATGAGTGCTGCAACCCCAGAGTCGTTTGCGACTGGACCTAATGGTCAGGGGTCCCTTTACCTTTACGTTTTAGGTAGATATCAAGGTACTAAAAATAGAGCTGGTTTCCCTCCAGGAGGAGGGACAAGACAGTGCAACAAGAGATGTCTGCCAGCCGTCAACAAGCCAGTGAGACATAGTAAGAAGTGTGTGTCGGTGTGTGTTCATGCACACCGAACAACCCCTTTTGAACACTGCTCTGTTGCAGGAAAAATGTAGAATACATCAGAGCTTGAATTAAGTAAAAAACCACTAATATGAAGGGTCATGAGGGGAACAGGTATAGGACTAAAAGACAGGGGACTGGTCAAACCCAACCTACTGCTTCTTTAGAAGTACATGGAGTGCTCATTCACACTTCCACTTGTTCGATGGCAAGAAAGCACAGGTCCAAGGGGTTTTCTGCTGGCTGCATGCTTTCTAGCTGGGAGCTGATGTGAGTAGAAGTTCAAAATATCTAGAGGGCACCAAGTTGGCAAATGTTGGAATATGGTATTTTAAAATCCACTGGGCAACCATTCTGCTTAAGCCGCTTCACATAGTTGTTACAAGAATAAAATACTTTTTGGGGGGATGGGGAGGTGCAACAATTATGCACAGCACCCTAATCTTCTTGGAGTAGACATTACTTTGCACTGCCTCCAAAGGTGCTTGGGAACACATGCATCACACAGGTATGCTTGCTAGGGAGTCCAGAGTAACCGTGGTTCCTTTTCTGAAAGCAAGCCAGTGGTGGAAATGGCCTTCAGATTTTGTCTGGACAAGTGGACTAGAAAGTCATTTTATTCCTAAAGGCAGTACTGTGCGCTGTTAACTTAAGAGGACTGCTTTTTGCTCACCTTCACCAAGATGAGCTTGGATTCCTTGGGTTTGTCAGATGCAAAGGACTGGCCAAAGCACAGGTAGATGGTGTAGTCAGGAGAGGAACATCTCTGACCATCACGGAAAGCCCTCAGTTCTGTTACAAAAGAGAAAGATCCAAGGCTCTTCTAAGTCACTTTGGGGATCCATGAACAGAAAGGGCAATAAAAAACCCAAAGGTGTTTTCACTTGTCTTGGTGAAAAGCTACTTGTGTCACGTGTGAAGGTTAATGAATAATACTGAACTCCCAAATCTCATCAGCCCAGCCCAATGGTCAGGGATGAAGGAAGCTGTAGTTCAGTAACATCTGGAGGGCATCATATTGCTATCCCTGCTCTAGGCAATATAGATTTAGAGATGTTTGCATTGCATTATAGGCCAGTTTAAGAAGAAATCAATATAAGCCTTCTATGTGAAAAGAACTTTGGAAGAACAGGAAGCTATAGGAGTGATTTTCAGTTAATCAAGAAGCTCTTCACCCAAGTTTGCAAGTGCCAATTTGCAACTGCAACAGCATATAGAGACTTAACGTGTAGGAATGGACTTCTATGCACAGGTGACAACTGAGTCTGAACTGTGGGTTTATCCACACTTCATCTTATCCACACTTCCTCTTTCCACAGGAAACTCACTTTTTGGCACTCAATCGGAGCAGATGGCAATCCAGATTTTCTCTGGATTGACATTTGCTCTGATTTAGAGCGGGTGGACGCGGGTGGCGCTGTGGGTAAAAGCCTCAGCGCCTAGGGCTTGCCGATCGAAAGGTCGGTGGTTCAAATCCCCACGGCAGGGTGAGCTCCCGTCTTTCGGTCCCAGCGCCTGCCAACCTAGCAGTTCGAAAGCACCCCCGGGTGCAAGTAGATAAATAGGGACCGCTTACTGGCGGGAAGGTAAACGGCGTTTCCGTGTGCGGCTCTGGCTCGCCAGATGCAGCTTTGTCACGCTGGCCACGTGACCCGGAAGTGTCTTCGGACAGCGCTGGCCCCCGGCCTCTTAAGTGAGATGGGTGCACAACCCTAGAGCCGGTCAAGACTGGCCCGTACGGGCAGGGGTACCTTTACCTTTACCTTTTTAGCACTAAAGAGCGGGTATTCCCTGGGAAAGGAGTTGTTGTTTGGTTTGCCTAGAAAGTATGGGTCAAGCAGAAAACTGCTCCGACACGTGCTTCCTAGCAAGAGACAAGCAGAAGTGTGGATGAGTTCTGTTAACATAGTTTAATAACAAAAGCAGCAGAGACTGAACAGTGGTGATCTCCTGCTCAAGCAGAGGGATTAGCAGGTTAGCTTTGTAACCTCTGCTAATACAATAGGGGAAGCCATCTCTGTTTTAAGCAGGGGACTGTGATTCAAACCCCTCACTGAACTGGTTTCAATTTGGCTGTGTGCTGTGAACAGGTATGTGTAGTCAATGCAGGATTTAACCCTGCCTTTGCACCCATCAGACGATGTCGCAAGTGGTGTCAACTGATTGGTGGGCAGGTGTAGCTTAGGGTATGGTCTTGTGGGTGAAAGTGGACCCTGGCAGGCTAAGAGGTTCTTCACCCCTGGCCTTAGGGTCAGATGCTCAGCTCTTAGCCCCTACAACACTGACCTACCTTATTGGATCACTGTAAGGATTACTAAAATAGGGTATGTGAACTGCCTCATATTCTCTAAACCACTCCAAAAATATTAAGCAGCATTACTGCTCTCCTTCACTTCGGCACTGCCAGAAGCTTGACAGGCACAATGAAAACGGGCCACAATTAGTGCCATGTGTACCCTGCAGTAAGCAGTCAAAATTCTGTGTCAAGACATGCTCCTCAACCCGCCATACCTGTTGCTTATTGCTCCAAGTTCTGCTCCAAGCTTTGTGGACTAGAACGTACCTTTAAAAAAGGGGGTGGGGAGCAGAGATTCTGAGAATGATACATTCTGCACCCAATAACAGCCTCATCTCACTCATATCCATAAAAGCTGAAATGGTAAGGCCTGGGTAGGATGAAAGTCACAGGCTACTGATAACACCCAACACCATTCATTGCACAAGGCACTTTTGAAATACCGTATTATGGCCAAATCACAGCTAAGCAAAAAGTCTTACTGCCCCCTAAGGGAGGCCTTTTATGGCATTGGGGAGGTTTTAATGCGCATAAGGGTTCCAAATCAAAGCCTTTGGGCCTGACCCATGTCTCAGGTGTTTTCTCCATGACTCAACAAAAGCAGTTTCACAACTGTGTCATCATGTGCCTGTTTTTAAACGAGTCATGCATTAACACACAGTTTAATTTCGTGCCCACAGAGGAAATACCATGTTCCTAGAGAATCACCTTGACAGAATCTTTCATAGTTGAAGATGTCAGTTTCTTCCTCCCGTCCCAACAGCCTGGGTGGAGGACGCGGTGCTGTGTGGTCCAACTCTTTGGAGAAAGCCCAGAAGACCTTACATCGACCAATTCGCCAGGCACAGATCTTATTGTTCTTCTGGTACAGCAGCAGACCCGCATTCTTCAGCAGTGTCAAGGTATGATTAACTTGCTTTTGATCAGGAAGGATCTCCGGGTTTGGAAATAGAACATGTTGTATCTGCGGGTTTCCTCCAATTTCATAGTATGGGTTGTATGTGAACATACAGCTGTTAAATTCTACTCCTGCTTCGTGCAGCAGCTTCCCGCGGTAGTAGATAGAGACATCCAGATTGAGAGGGGCACATCCTGAAAGAGACAAGACCGTGCTTAATCCAGTGGGGGAAGCTTACTAGCTCCATGCCTGCCAAGGGGTGCAGGGTGACAAGCCATCTGAAGCGCAGCACAACGCTTACACCGACAGAGGAAAAATGCTATTTGGTGGTAGCGGCAGGTACATTGATAGAACCATCATAACAGAGAGGAAGCTATATTATCATCCGTGTGGCTAACTTAAGGCAGTTAGCAGTACAGCTCTGCTGCACATAAGCTACAGCTAAGCAAACAGCATATATTCCCTACAGTGCTGTAGAGGTTTGGCCCTTGCTGCCCAGAGACCTACACCCATTGCCCTCATGATTCCACATTTGTTTTAGACTTGCTCAAAAATAGGATGCATTCACTAACCTGCATTGTTCTGCAGTGGAGCAGCATGAAGGGGGGGTTGTTCTAGTGGGGAAGGGGCAACTGGAAGTGCAAATGTCTTCTGTTCCACCATGGCTTGCTGGCTTGGAAACAGATGGCAGTCATTTCTCAACAGGTTGCTCATCACTCCATTTCCCTGAGGTTCTTCATTCAGGAAAACGTGTTCAATGAAGTTGTTATCATACAGGGCTTCTCCTAGCACAGAAGAGGAACACCTTGGGAATTCTAACAAATGTTATGCATGCCCTAGCTCAGCCTTTGCTGACCTGGTGCCCTCCAGATATTTGGTATGCCAACTCTCAACAGTCTCAGCCAGCATGGCAGTGATCTGCTTGCACAAGGCTTGTGTGCAGGTTACGTGTAGCTCTTTATTGAGCATTCATTCAGATAATTTTTTTGTGAGGAGGTTATGTGACAATAAGCATTCACACTTGTACAGAGTTTATACAGTACATCTTCCCATCCCTTAGCCCAACACCTTTTAGTGCATTTCCTCCTCAGTTTCCTACTTGCAAAAAGTCAAGGTTTCTTTTTAAAGTGGATTATTATTATTATTATTATTATTATTATTATTATTATTTGCACCAGAGTGCTTTAATTCACTTTCATGGCACAAACTTAAATTTCTGGTATGCAACTGAACCCCTGGGGCAAACTACTGGCAGTCTGGAGGTAACCACAGTCTTCTGCTTGTCGCTAAAGCAAATCAGGAGCTTTGCTACACCTTGTCCGTTCTGGATTTTTTGTTCATTAGGAACTACCATATTTGCTTTGGACATCTGATACTAATTCAAGCAGGCTGAAAATCTTAAAATAGTTTATCATATGCAAGTTCCAGGAATCAAATGGCGATCCAATGAATCAATCTCTCCAGTGCTCCAAAAACCACTGCGCAGCTCAGTAACATTTCTTTTTAGCACAATTATTCATTTTGGAACAGACATGCAGACTGCAGAGTAACTCTACTCACCCACATGGTTAGCTTGATTTATCCCAGGAGGTGTATTTTGTTGAGGAAGCTGCAGTGGATGAACGGCAATTGGCTGGGAATTCACATTTGGTGGACGTGCAGCCAGCCAGCCGTCTGCTACTTTACAACCGTTATTTGCCAGTGGTTCACTCACTACTCCAGGCACCAGAGGCAAGCAGCTGTTTTGGTCGATACAAGGGATTGTATGTGCAACTTCCCCTGCTGTATTGGGGTGGAAAAGAAACAAATCAATGGGAGGGAGATGAAGGAAGCTGCACAGAGTGACTGGGGAAACCTAGCTAGATGGATGGGGTATAAATAAAATAGTAGTAGTAGTAGCAGTAATAATAATAATAATAATAATAATAATAATAATAATAATAATAATGCAACTCAAGAGAACACACTAGCCTTTATAACAAATTAAGCACAAGACAATGTGAAATTTGTATGCCATGCCTCTTGAACAAATTTTGAAAGATGTAGGGATATATAGGTTCTAGCTGCACCGGCTCACTCCCCATCACATACACACACGAAATATTGTACATTAAAGCCCCTGAGCATGAGATCACATTTGTTATTAAAAGTATCTGAGCAGCAGCTAGAAACAGAAATGTGTAGCCATCCTTAGAACTCAGAGGCTGAGGAAGAGATGCAAGGTGATTTTGCCAAGCCCACAGCCAGACCTACCTAGAGGATGTTCTGGGACAGGAGCCCAGGAGACTTGTGAAACTTCATCAATGTCAGCTTGCTGCAAAACCCACTGGAGCACATCTAGATGGTAAAACAGGCATGAGCAGTGATGCATTTGGGCAGATGAAGTCTATACTGGTTCAGAACGATGTTGATGTGGATGCTGCACCAGTCCTAATTTTAAAGCGTTTAACGCCTTTGAAATTCTCTCTTCTTCTCCTCATGCAAGTTTAGAGGAGGAGGATATGCAGACAGAGCCCACAAAACGGAAGCCAGTGCCAAGTATGTGATAAATAACCCCCCCCATCCTTTTGTATCAGAAAGTGATCTATCATGCCCACCCCCAGGTTCAGTGTGTGTCCCTTGCCCTCCAGAATATGAGCTCATAAAAATCAAACCAACTATCAAATCCACTCTAGAGGAGCTGCACCTTGACTGCGTCCGTCGCCTGTGCCTGGTGCAGCTCAGCTCCCTGGGCCTGACCCGGGGGAGGAGAGCAGGCGAGTGGATGGCAGCACTGCCGCCCACCCCTCCTTGGCCGTGGCACACCTCAAACCTGGTGGCAGCAGCTCTTCTGACCCGGCGGCAGAGAGCAGCCCTCCTTGGTCACCCAGCTGCAGTAGCTCTGTGGCCAGGTCTCTCTCTAACCCTGAACTGTGGCACACGGAAGGGTGCCCTCCACACCCCTCCCCCTCAGGGGTGCAGTCTTCGTGCCCGCCCTGGGCAGTGCGGGCATACACTCCACCCCAACCACACCTGTATATAGGGGGCAAGGTTTTATAGACCAATACTTAAACCTGGTAGCATAGTAGTGCACAATCCTCAAAAACAAGCGTTATGTACTGCAGATGATTAAGTTCCATTAGCAGCTTAGTAACTAATTCTGCACCAGGTGCAGCTTCCGGACTGAACCCAAGGCAGCCCCACACAGAGCACGTTACAGGAATCAAGCTGCAAGATTATCAAGGCATGAATGACTGCCACGTGTTTTCAGCAAGCAACCAAAACAGCTGAATCTAATCAGAGGCATATCTAGTTCAGCACCACCTCCAACAACTGCCAGCAAAACGCCCCTGGAAAGTGCCTCTCTGGACAAGACAGGGTAGCGGTTTCCCATTTGTCAGATGAACAAGGGGATGCCTTGATTTTTTCAGTTGCTACAGGGGCTAGGGAACTGTCTGTGCATCTGCCAAAGCTTTTAAAAAAGTGATATCTAAAGGCCAGTGCCCAGCAGAAAACTGCACAGTGGTGATGCTGTTTTTTGTTTTCGTTTCCATGTTAAAGCTTAACGTGTATACATATTCAAAATCCTTTTATTGAAACAGTTCCAAAAGTAATCACTCATTTGTGAAGCTTCTTTCTCTCTCTCTCTAGTTTCTCTGGTCATTATTTCTTTTAATGAGGTGGGCAAAATGGCTTGATGCAAGCCATATGCCAGGCTTGGAAATTTGCATGAGCAGCCCCCAATTCCAAATGGTTGGGTTAGGGATTCCTGTGCGGGTTTTCATTTTTTTAGAACTTCCAGTGGATCTTCCAATATCAACAGATATTTTTCAATTGCTATGCTGGGTGTGTTGTGATCCTACAGGGCTAGGCATGCTTCCCTATGGTAGCTCTGTCAGGCACGTTTCATTCCGATGTGGTGTAGTGGTTAGAGTACCGGACTAGGACTAGGAGAACACAGTTCAAAGTCTTGCTCAGTTATGAAACTCACTGGGTGACTTTGTGCCAGTCACACTCTCAGCCTAACCTACCTCACAAGGTGGTTGTGGGGACAAAATGGGGAGGAAGAGAACCATGTATGCTCTCTTGAGATCCCTGGAGGAAAGTTGGAATGCAAATGTGATAAATGAATAAATATAGCAAAAATATGTTCTAAGCATCTACCCCAAATTTATGTCCGTAAACCAGAAAATGAGCATTCAAGTTTTGACAGCTTACCTGGGCATGGATTTTCCAGTGACAGGGATTTAAAAATATCATCGATCTCCTGCTGTAAACCAGAAAAATAAAGTTTTCTCCAAGACGACGATACATACAAAAGATGCTGTTTTCAGCATCTTGAAATGATACTATTGCAGCTTATCACAGGAACTTTCAACATTTTTAGTAATCAACTGTATTTCAACCCTTGTGATTCAGAGCAACAGCCTTGCCTTTTAATTTGCAAAAATTGAAGTTAAGCCAAACAAAGACAAGAACTAGTCTGGACCTTCCAAAATGTCTTACATTCAGGATTGGGAAGCGTTTTGGCCCTCCAGATGTTGCTGAACTACAACTCCCATCAGCATAGCCAGCGGTTCAGCCAGATGTTGTGGTTCAGCAACATTATGGGGGGCAAAGGCTCCCTCACACCAGCTGTGCATGCCTAGTACTGAGGGAAGCTTCCCTCAGAGCTACAATCTCAAGAGCATTTCTCATATGCAAGCTTTCAGTCATTTTGAGTCTCTCACACATATTTAAAGTAACGTACGTTTTCAAATACAAAATTTGGGATCCAATCCTAAGCATGTCTATTATGGAGTCAGCCTGCATAGGAACGCACTGCTAAAATGGCTTGTGCTTAATTGCAACATAACCATCCCCTGTGAAAATGTCCAGTATGTATGAAGTCTGGAAAGTCTGTTGGATTTACTCCTGTAATCAGCTGCACAAAGCTGGCCAGCAACGGGACCATTACTCTTTGCACAAATACTATTTGCTAGTGCACTGGAGCACAAAGACAGGCACACCTCCTTCTTTCCTGCCACATGGCAATGACATCGTTATCACCAGCAGCTCCATAAACTGTTTTGCTGCAATGCACTTCCCAACTTCCCATGAAAACATCATGAACATGTGTTCATATATTGAAGCTCCTGGATAATCTTTGTTATTTTTATATACGTAAAATTTGGAAAAAATTAAGAAACAAACACACTGATCTGCTTCCGAATTAATCAATTTAAAAACCTTTAAGTTGACTGAGAAGCTGCCTCTAACAGACTGAATCCCTACAGACAGGGATTCTTCATGTGTCTGCCACCACTTGAGATGCCTGTCCTTCCATTAGTTCTTCAGCAATGTTCTCCCTTGCTCAAGGAGTTGTTTAAACATGAACAGGAACACACCCCACCCACCAATAATTTTTGCATTCACATCGACTTAATTACTGGATGTTTATTCATTAGAAACAAGACCCTGGTCTAGAGTCCTACACCAATGCATTGACCAGCTCTAAACTGAATAGCTTTCGAATTGTTCCATGGCCCTCTCAAACCTATTGTGCCCAGCTGTATTGTACCTGGGTTGTAGACTGGTGTAGAGCTGGGGATCCGTCACTGCAGGGGCTCATATGCAACTGATCAACTTCCTGGTTACTTCCACTGACTTGGAGAGGAGGAGACACATAGGAAAAAAGACACAATGAACAACAGTTCCAGGATGAAATGCAAATACAAGAAGATACATAGTTTCGTGACCTGGTTGCAGAGAACTATGGCCCCATCTGCACTATACATTTAAAGCAGTATCATACCACTTTGAGCAGTCTGGCTTTCCCCAGAGAAGCCTGGAAACTTTTGTTAAGGGTGCTAAGAGTTGTTAGGAGACCCTTATTCCCCTCTCAGCCCTACAATTCCTGGAGTGATTTAAACAATTTAACAATTGATCCCTTATAAAAGAGATTACAATTTTTTCAGACCCTGGAATTCCCTTGAAGCATGAACAAAGAAAGCCTGTGGTGGGTGCCCACACTTCCTGCAATTTATCAAGCACTTCATGTTAAAGAAAGTTTTGCAGCCCTAACCCTGCATCCCTTTTCTGTCTTTACTTGTGTCGGCAGGAGGATTAACAGGCGGTGTAGAGTTGCGGCTGCAGGGGATGATTCGGTACACGTGGTAGTCAGGGTATTCCGATTCAACTTCTTCAAATCTTTTTGTACTGTTTAAGGCACAGCGGAAGTTGGTTTTCCATCTGGCTGGGTTTAGTACACCTTCATTGTACTTTCCGCTGACCATAGCCCACGCCTTTCCACACAGAAACATGGGAGAAGAAGAGATGGAAAAGTGTGAAAGAACTATTCTGATGAAGACCACATACACACCACGTTTTTAAAGCACTATGATACCTCTTTAAACAGTCATGGCTTTCCCCCAAAGAATTCTGGGAGCTGTAGTTTGTTAAGAGTACTGACAGTTGTTAGGTGACCCTCCCAGAGCTACAATTCCAAGTTCCCTAGGAAGAGGGATTGACTGTGAAACCACTATGGAAATTATAGCAGCTGCAGGGTGCCTTCAGAGGCAGGGTACATTGCATGTTTGCAGAAATGGGCACTCTGCATGCCTACCAGAGAATCTGCTTTATTATTCAGCTGCAACCGCTGGTAAATTGGACTCCAGTCTGTGAAAGCTTATGCCACAATACATTTGTTAGTCTTTTTAAGGTGCCAGAAATGGCTTTTATACTAGAGAGTTGGAGGAAGTCAACGTAGCATTAAAGAGATCATTCTGCTTGCCTGATGGAATTATCTCTCTTCTCCTTCCCCACTCCTGGTGCTGTTCTGGGGTTGGTGTCTCCTGAACCCCCTCAGAGCCAATTTGGTGGGGGTGCAGGAGAGAGGGGACTTTCCAACTGCACTGCCAAAGTTCTTAAATGGCACAACCCATTAGCTGAATCTGGCCATGGCAAATACATGCAAGAAGTCAGCCTTAGTAGAACGAGAGTATTACCTGGAAAATCTTGTAATCACTTGCCACAAGGTTCTTCCTTGAATTGTGCTTCCAAGGGATACGAAAGGTTGTGTGGGTGTCATCAGTCCAGGCCACGCTTTCTTTATATCTTCCACTGTTGATCTCATTGATCAACCAGTCAAAGAAACGGACCTTTGGACGGCCCCTGAAACAGCAAAGAGAAATACTGAACTGGAGGTTCAAAAATACTGGAGGGAATGTAGCCTAGATATCACCCCAACATGCAGCAGCAGCGTCAATTACGACAGTTGCACAGGTGGCACAATGGCCCCAGAAATCACTCGTGTCGGACCTCTAGGAAAAAGAAAAGACATGGATCCTACACAAAAACAGATGCCGATTACCATAGCAACTTCTTAATAAACCACAGGTTGCTCTGGTCTTTGAAGTCAACACTTTTCCTCATACAAATGTCAAAAATACTTTTAAAGCAGCAGCTTCCTGGATACCCCCAGGACAGGACAGCCCAGCAATATAATTCATTAAGAGACATGAGAGTGAAGAGGGTCAACAAATCAGCAGCTGGAGGGCAACAGTTGAGTTGGATGTGGACTTCAGTCTGAACCTTGTCTACCATTTGGACCATGAAAATAAGGGTGATTCGCCTTGATGAGAAAACTGCTTGTATTAATTATTATTGTCACAAGGCTGGGGTAAAGAAGGTGCACTTGGATTCTTGCGCAATAATCATGAAACTTGTACATATCTACTCACCACAGGTGAGGGCTGTAGTTGGCTAAGCCCAAACTCCAAAGCGCAGGCTCACCATAAAGTGGATTTTGACACTCAAGAGGAACTAAAACTAACTGGAGCAAGAAACCAAAGGAGCAACCTCAAAAAAAGTGTAGCAGAACAAACACTGGACCTATTATTATATTAAGTTTTACCTCAATTTTAGCTATCCTCAATGGCGCTACTGTTTGGTCATCTCATGCAGTAAGGTCTGCATTCCCAAAACTCAATTACTACTAGTAAGCCCTACTGAACACATTGGCTTACCTCCAAGTAAACGTGTAGGACTCGATTGAGTATGTTCTAGTTAATATGGGCTGCTACTAAATAAATAAATAAATGCAATGTGTGTGTGAAATGCCATCCTATATCAAGCAGACAGAATTGTCAGTTTTGGCTGACAAACTCAACCACCACAGCTTCAGGAGTTATTGTGTAGAAGTGTGTGTTTGCACGCACCCAGTTCTCCCTCCCCGCCCATGCCTGCATGCCTCTGATTGCCACAAGAACACTCACCTCTCATTTGCTGGTGCAGCCATTCTGGAGTCAAGTAAGTCTTAAAATATGCCTTGTGGCAAGTTGAAATATGACAGCTACACACACTGAATCTTGTACTGCTTAATGTCTTGTGGACTAATAGAAGATCATGAGGCAGAATCTGTACAGACCAGAGAAAATAAAAAGGCGGAAGCCATGTCAGCAGACTTGGTCGTTTTGATAGGTTTTATTACATGTTAGAAATCAGAGTTACTGTATGGCTGAGTTGCTACTAAGCGAGCACAGGATATATCCATTAGGTCAGAGCTTTCCAAACTGTGTGTCGCGACACATCACTGTGCCAGCTGCAGTGTGTAGGTATGTCGTGCAAACGCTCCCCACACTCCTCCCAGGGCTGGAAAGGGGTTAGTTTAACCTCTGGTTTGCTAGTATAACTGAATTACTGTGTTGTGAAATGATGCATGTCTAAAAAGTGTGTCACCAACATGAAAAGTCTGGAAAGCTCTGCATTAGGTTGTGCAAAATCTGAGGGTCCTCTATGAGGCTAAATACCATAATAACAGCAACATGAACCACCAGCAACTATCACAATCTCTCAGAAATATTACCAGAACTTCCACCCCACCCCCCAATAAAGTTGCTCTTCTACAATACAAGGTGCAACTGGCATATTAATCAGGGCTGATAAACACACCCTCGAACAGCATCTACTTGAGAATTCAGGAGAAAAACAGGAGCGCTGCACTTCAGGAAGTGTGCCAACACCACCCAGAATAACAACTTGCACTACTTCTCTTTTATCAAACCATCAGCCGTTTTCTTGTCTGCGATGAGTTTCAACTTATCTGACCTCACCCAGCCACTTTCCAGGGCAGAAAAGCCTCCACAGCTGCTTCAGATGGAAAGGAGAAATAAAATTAACTGTCCTTCATATTCCAATGATGACCTAATTCCCTGCAGCTGTGAAGAAGAATGTGTGAGAGAGAAAATAAGATCCCTGAGGGACTTAGAGCGAATGTCTATGGAACTAATCTGGCAATATAAGAGCAGAACCACTACAAAAGTGCTTCCATAACTCCCCACCCACATACTAGATGCAGAAGCATATAATGGCAACAAAAGCTGCCATGTGGTCCAAGAGCAAAAAAGGAGTCCTGTCAGGGCAAGCTGGGGACATTTGCCACTTGAGGCAAAAAATAAAATAAACAATCCCCCACCACAGATGCACCTCAAAGATTCACATCTGCTTAAAAATATTAAGTTATAGTCTATTATTATGGGTAGACAGTCAGTGTCTTTGCAATCATTTCATTTACTAATGTGCTACCTAATTCAGCCTGCTTGAGAACTGCAAAAATCTAAACTACTCCCAACCCTAAAACCTGTAGTAATTTTCCAAACAGCCACAGCCACACATTTCAGCCTCACTTATTGCACAAAAGTGCACCTCCTAACAATATTTTCAGCAGTTTGGGATGAAGATATATTGCTGCAGTTACCTTCCCATTAGTTGAACCTCTGTTACATCCTCATCAGTAAAACTCCAGGCCAACTGTACACCAATGCCATCTTAACTGAAGATGCTTCTTCAGGGGGCCACCAGGTGGCGCGTTGGAAGATGGCCGACAATAACATCTCTGACCCATACGAGGTAATTAAGGGGCTGCTATGGGAAGTATGCAGTCTTCCTACCCCCCCAGGAGACGGAGGGCGCTGCCTTGCCAGCGGTGTTCACAATGCACCCCCTGATCCGAGAGTTGGGGGTGCCGAACACTTGGCACGAGCCCTCGGTGAAGTCAGATCTTCCTGATACCGATTCCAATTAGCGCGTGCTGGTTAGCTTCAGCTCGGAATTATAATTGGAAACATACGATTGGAATGAAGCTGAAGCACATATATCAAGTAATGTTCGAGAGATAAGACTGCTGATTAATGGATCTCTGTGACCGGGAGTGACGGATGGATAAGTAAATCTTCTGATGAATCACCACTAGGAGACTGTATGTTTGGAATGAAGGGGGGGGTGGTGGAGGAAAAAACTTTTTTTTTCTTTGCACGATGTGATATTAATAACCCTTCACCCCAGATAGAAATAAGATCGTTGCATTTTTATTAATCACAAGCAGGAATTCAAGAACTGTGTAGGATGGATTATAATAGGAGAGGGGATTGGTGAACGGCGAGAAAGAGGAAAATTTTCATGATGCAGTTAAAAAATGGCATCTTGCCAAGACAGGCTTGCCAGAGAAAGAAGGACAGGGGGAGAAGAATCAGGATTATTTGAAAGAGAAGGAATGTTGGAATGCAAGCTTGACCTGACAGAGCCTCCTGATTCATTTGATTTATTTGGCAAGCCTGAGAAAAGTAAAGGACAGACCGAAGATTAATTTTTTTTATGGAAGCGCTGAACAGAGGCTGTCCCTGAGTGATATGATCTTTGGAGAGTACAAAACCCACACAAAGGATGCCTGTTTTCAATCTGCTTGTGAAAATTATCAGAGATCGCAAAGAAAGGAATATACGATAACAACAAGAAGAGAAAGAAAGTAATAAAGGACTATCTGGATTGAACTGGATAGAACTGTCTAATTAAAGCAGTAATATAAGTGATGTTTGGACTCGTTCAGAGTTTTGGACTCGTGCAGAGCTTGATGTACGGGTACCCCCAACAAAATTTAAAATTTGGCTGTATAATTTGAAACTAATGTGATTTGGATAATGTGATGTGATTGGCCTGTTAATAAAAATTATTTTAAAAAAAGAAGAAGAAGAAGGTGCTTCTTCAGGTACCTCTGCTGTCTGAAGTGCAGCAGCGGGCAACTAATTAGGGTTGAGGGAGCTTCCTTGGCGACCCTATCCATTTCAGTGGCATGTTCTGTTCAGCCAGAGTGAATTTCCCCCTATGAACTTATGAGGGAGGTTAGAAAACAAATGTAATTTCAGAACCACACCAATTTACAGTAATCAAGCATTGGCTTCAAGTTACTGAATATTTGGGTAGTGCTGACAAAGGGCCATTTGTGCATTGTTGCCCTTTGACAAAACTTTGAATAGGACCTGCCTAGTATTTTGTCTTCTGACATGTGCTACTGAAAAATCACCAGGGAAGAGCTGCTTCTCTGAGAAGCCAAAGGCGAGACTTCCCTTAAAAATGCCACTGTCCTGGTTGACTTCTGTTGCAATATTTTCTTCCTATTGACACAGCAGTTCAGTGTCAATGTCCTCTTCTGAGGAATTATCATCCCTCTTGCAAAAATACAGAAGCAACCTAGACTGCTAGGCATTTTAAAAGGCAACCTAAAGTCAGACCAGGGAACTACTGCATCAGTGCTGATTCACATGATGCAAGGCTTAATTTGTGCCAGGGATTCTCATTCCTACAACCTGTTCTGTATCAGGGACGAGGCATGGAATACCTCTGGCCTAGCCAGGGCATTATCCTCCAGGTGCTGCTGCAGGACAACTCTTATCCCTAATCACTGGCCGTGCTGGCTGGCACTGGTAGCTGTAGTGTAGCTCAACAACAACATCCCAAGGGTAGCATTGGCTACCCTTGGTGAATTTCCTCTATAGAAGGTATGTCTTTCCCAACACCCCCAGGAGCTATTTTACCACTCCTGTACATCTATGTCTGTGCAGATATAATTTTTCTTACCCCCCTGGGGGTGGGGGGAAGACAGTGATTGCAGCGGCAACTGCTGTCCACTGTGTGCTCGTCTGACCAATACGTGCTGCCCCAAAGTTGCCTACACGTGTAGCCTCCAGACATAAAGTCCTTACAAGCCGTTTTACAGTGTGCACATCGGGCAGGTGGGGATTGCACGAGCATGCTAACTTTGAATATGTTCGACCAACGCAGGCACGCAGGGAGCTGCTCCTCGGGGCAGGCGCGCAAACAACAGATAATGTCAGCATAAAACTCAACTACGGGGGCTTCCACGGGGTAAATACGGTTTACCAAACAGCCTTAAAAATTGTTCTCAAGAGCGAGGCAGTGCTCGCGCGAGCAACACTAGAAAGCCTGCGCAAAACTATGAGCTGCCCTTCGATAGGTTCGCTGCTGCAATCCTACACTCAGCAGCAAATCCCACTGACCTCACCAGGACTTACTCTCAGGTAAGTGTGCATGTTATGATTAAAACGAGGAAGACAGAAAATGATGCAAGTCATTCCTCCCTCGCTCTGCACTGAAGCTGCTCTACCTCAGCGACCCTCTTCCCCTCACCCCCCGGTTCCAGACACCCAATATAAAGGTGCGTTACCTGTACTGCTACCAGGTGTTTTCTATTGCGCGGCAGGTAGTGGAATTCTGGCGACATCAATACGCTCACGCCCCCTCCGGCGACGGCTTATATGAGAAGCCGGGACGCATTTCATTGGCTCGGAATGGCTCGGAGGCCGTCAGCGTCGGCCAATCAGAGGCAGCCGCCTTTCGAACGGGCTCGCGCCCCGCGCCCCGCGCCCCGCCCCACGGAGTATTTTCTTTCCTCCCAAACAAAATCCTCGCCGGAGCGTATTACGCCGCTCCCGATTAAGAAACCGGCGTTTCTCGTCTCCCCTGACCATATACGGCAGTTTCCGTCCCTGTAAATCACATGATATCAACGAAACCTTAAGTTTCATTTCCGAGGAGCTCCTTGGCGGGCCACGTGGCTTGCCTGCTGGTCGCCCTTTAGAAAGCACAGAGGTTCTTTTTTTGGAAGGAGAGAGTCTAGCTGCTGTACAGGAGGACCACAAATGCGCCCTCAGAGCCGGGCTGGAATGATTTCACTTCTGCTGGCAAGCAGTCACCTCACTGCACAAGAAGACTTTGCCAACGACCTGCGCCGCTGCATGCATATCCGGCGCCGTGGTGCAAAGATCCCTCCGGCACCCCCTTTCCCAGAGTTGTCCACCTTTTTTTTAGGGAGCTGACACCACGCTTACACATTATCTCTGCTTGGGGGCGGGGAACAGGAAACATAAACAATCTTTTTTAGTTGCTTGTTTAATAACAATGCACTTATATATTATATGACACCACCACATTGATTTTGGCAGATTTAAGACAAATTGTCTTATTATGTAACACCTTGTTTTTAACAATGTTGATTTCTTTTAAAATTCAGAATACAGTAGCTGCGTTATTCGTGTAAAATAGTTCGATACAGTACATTGTATGGCATAGTTTCCCCTCAAATTCTAAGGTTCTCCTAACACCTTAATCCTTTGCTTTAATAAGGGCAAACGTATTTTAAAATAATTAAAATTTGAAATCCACTACATCAAGCCAGCTCTCAAAAAATTAACACATACTGTGTGCTTCAAATACCAGTTAAGAGATTTTGCATACTATTGGTCAGGTAAGGTTAACATCAGTAGAATTCACAACAACAAAAATGCTTGCCTCTAGCCCATTTCACAGCTTCAGCTGCCACACACTGTCCCTGAAAACAATGCATTGGTCAGTCTGAACCATGTCAAGTAAACTATGGAAGTAACATATCCGCAACACAAACTGTGCTAGTACTTTCTTTTCAAGTCTTCATTCCATAATGGGTACAATCTGAGGAAGCCACTACTCCCAGCCTGTGAAAAGTAGTGGAAGGTGGCTATCAGACATTTTGAAAATGTGATAGTTTACAGTACATTCTTGCAGCCCAATGCCAGGTTCCAGGCATTGCAGTGGGTTGGACCAGATTGACCCTTGGGTCTCTTTCAACTATACAATTCTAAGATTTAATACAAGGTTCTTACAACATAATGCAATTTAGTCCCATATGATTAAGCAATTATAAATAAATTTCAGAATAATAATAAATTACAGATTTGTAAATCCGGGGACTGTCCCCAGGAAATGGGGACATCTTGTAACCATACTCTAACGTACACTAGTCACCTAAGCCAACAAGGTGGGTATTATTATTATTATTATTCCCCACCCATCTGACTGGGTTTCTCCAGCCACTCTGGACGGATTCCAGCACATACAGAAACATAACAAAACGTTAGACATTAAAAACTTCCCAGCACAGGGCTGCCTTCAGAAGTCTTCTAAAAGCTGTGTAGTTCTTTATCTCCTTGACATCTGATGGGACATCTGACAAGGAGGGTGCCACTGCTAAGAAGTCCCTTTGCCTGGTTTGCAGTAACTTCCCTTCTCGCAGTGAGGAAACACTCAGAAGGCCCTTGGATTTCAGTGTACCTCATTGTCCGGGCTCAACTACCACTACTACTATTTGCAGAATGGCCTGTATGTATTTAATGACATGTAGCTGCTCCTGTAGCATTCATTCTAGCCGTTTTCAACGCAACTTGTCTTCACAGTCTTTAAAATAAGTTGAAATCTTTTTTCCAGCATATTTGCAAATCAGTTAGCTTTGGGTTTCTGGGAACTTGCTATTTCTCCTATTAAAAACCCGATGCCGTATTTTGTATTAATAACAAGAATGGCTTTCCCCCCGAATCTACCCAATAGTACCCCATAATAAAGTTTCCAGGGGGAGATTGGCTGATAATTTACCAGGGTAGCTTGCTCTACAGAAGCTTTACACAGCATGAAGGTGCACCTTATGCCTGCTAATGTCTATGAATCCTGCTGCTCTCAAAAGGCACCGATAGAGGGAGTAGTTATTGGGAAACTTGGCCAGATGCAAAAGGTAAGAGGGGCACCTACACCTTTATGAGATGTGTAGAAGAGGAGCATTTCCGCAGGCAGACCTTACCTGGCAAGTTGCAGCCTGATGAAATTCCCTCTACTGCACAACAACTAAAGTGCACGAGCACACCTCCCTCTTTTGCATTTGGCCATCCTAAGTGTCATATGGAGCTTACCTTTCAGGGAGACTAAGAACAGGAAAGCTTGCATGCCTCACCAGAACAAATCTTAGCCAGTGTCTTCTTCTTGCACACTCTACACCTAAGTTGACCTCTCATGGCATCAGAAGCCACTGTGGGAACAGCTTTGTTTGCAGTGGTGCTGGGACATGTGCTAAGAACCTACCCTTAGTTCTCATGCTTGGCACCACTTTGGAGGAGCTTTCCTTTTTTTACCGTTTCCATAGAAAGCTAGAGCTTGTGCGGTTAAAATCTGAGGATGCAAGATAAAATTTGTCCCAGCTGTGTCTGCCACTAAGTTGATCCTCAGATAACACCCAACCCTCTTGGGACCCCCCTCCCACAGCCAGCCAGTTTAATGATTAGCTTGCCATGGCTTGTCACACGGTGGCTGCAAACTTGTCCACTTCTGCTTGTGAGTAAGCCCCACCGATCACGGCATGACTCACTTCAGGTATCTGTGTACACTCTGTACATTTAAAGCATATTTAAAGCATATCCTTCCTCTGATAGGATCTGGGAACTGTAGCTTACCCCTCACAGAGCTACAATTCCCAGCACCCTTAACAAACTACAGTCCCCAGGATTCTCCTGTGTGTTTGTTTGTTTGTGTGTGTGTGCGTGCGAGCGTGTGTGCATTAAATGTTAAGGTGTGTACACAGTTGTGTGCATAGCTTCAGGCTGTTTTCCAACTTCTTAAAATCATCTAGAATTATCCCCAGTTGGCACAGAGGGATGAAACCATTTAGAAAAGCATTTATTCTTTTTTGTTAACATCTGTGTATGCCCTCAGCTTCTAAACTGCACACTAGCTAATTAAAGCACTGCTTTTTTCCAGCCAGACTTTTGCTTTCTATCCCTTATGCTGATACCAGTGGTCTGGTGGGATTCCCCTCTCTGAGGGATTTAGTAGAATCTATTTGGTGAATAAAAAACCCTATAAGTTGCAAGAGGAAGTGTGTCTTCCTCTGTGGACTTCGGAGAGGATGCAAAGATTCTGTTAACAGATGCATTCCTTACCCTGTCTGGTGATTCAGTTCTTCCTTCTGCAATGGTTCTCCAGGAGCAAAGTGGAAGAAAGCAATTACTGAACCAAGCAAACTGCTGCAGGGATGATCAAATTGCTTTTGGAAAACGATTGCTATGGATGGAAAATAATACAAGCTAATATTTCAGGTTCTTATTGGGAGTTCTTGTTGACATTCAGAACAACCTGTGGATAACAATTCAGAACTAAAATATTTGGATCATCCACACATTTATATATATAGTTGGCAGCATTTGTATATTCTCTTTGCTCTTATCAGCAAACAACTCGTTATCTGTGCCCCGGACAGCAGCAATGACCTCTGCTACCACCAGAAGCACCTCCTAACTCTTTTTACTGGCTCTGTTCCTGTTCTTTGACAGCGGCCTGACATGCAGGAATTAAGGGTCCCTCCAGACAGGTGTTTTTTTCACAGGCATATTCTGCAACACGTTATTGACTCAATAATAGTGCATTAGTGGTAGATTTATACTGGGCTGCCCACACAATTATTTTGCCTTATGAGTTGTTCTGCAATGCCTCCTCAATGCTATTGCATTATTGCCACCTAGAAGGGCATGCCTGCGTTGTAGCACACAACAAATAGGAGAGAGAAACCCCCCCCCCCAACAACCCTGGAACATATGTGGTTTGAAAAGTTATAGGATTTCAGCACTGATTGGAAACTAAGTCTTAAAAGCAGGATTACATATAACAGCCCTGATACCCTCATGGATGCACAATAAAAAGGACATCTAGAGGGGGCCCAGGGTGGTGAGGCTTTCCCCGTCATTTGTTACATGCCACAGAAATCTCCACCTACGCTATTTCTGCATGGCAAGCCGCTGTTCAAGGCACGGGAGCAGAGTCATTTAAAAAGGCAGCAATCCTCATTCAAAGCAATTAAGTTCCATTCACTAAGTCTGCGGCTTGCTCCTACCCATTCATAGCTTCACACATGAATGGGCATGAACTGAAACTGGCAAACCTGACTACAGCCTTTTATCCCGTGACTTCGAATTTTTGCATAGATGGGATTACCCATCCCTCAGTCTTACTTGCTCCTTTTGTGGTTTGTGCCCTTACATCAGACGACTGGCTGACATAAGAGTGAAAGAAAGAAGTGGCTTGTTAGTTCGTTGCTAGCAGAAATAGTTGACTGCGACTTCTAAGAACCAGAAGCACCGCTTTTGTGCAATATGCCATCACCCTAGACATGCACAAAACTCCAGGAGATTTGCCCAAAGGCTATCAATGGCTACTAGTCATGATGGCCATGATGGCCATCTACATGGCCAGAAGCAATATGCCTCTGAAAACCAATCGCTGGGAGAGCATTAGGTGCTCAGATCCTGCTTGCAGGTTTTCCACAGGCATCTGGTTGGTGAGAACAGGATCCTGAAGTAGTTGGGCCATTGGCCTGATCCAGCAGGCTTGTCTTTGCTTGCTTACTTCTCAGGCACCTCATTTCCCCCAAGCAGTTCTGCCTACTCTTGTCTGACTTTGCAAAGACAAACCTCCAAATGTCTCAGCTCCCTTGACTAGAAAACAGATATCAGTATTTTGGTAAGTGTTGGCTGCCTTCAC